GTGTGTGTGTACGTGTGTGTGTACGTGTGTGTGTACGTGTGTGTGTACGTGTGTGTGGGGGGGAGAAAGAGAGAGACTGACAGACTGGAGACTGACTTTGAACACTGTGTGTGGACTTCTCAGGATGGTGGCAGGTGCCCCTTTACCTAGGGTGATCAGGAAAGTTTTTTCTCACAAAAATCACTACACTGAAATTCTAGTAAAATGAATCATCCAAACTGACCCAAATCACTTATCTCCTACCAGTTAGCTTTGGAATATATTTTTGTGCTTTTGCACTTGATGGAAAAAGTATCAGGTTCATGGGGAATTTTCAAAATTTCCAATGGAATCATGAAGCTACACTTTATGGATTTTATCCCATATTCATCTTCCCCTTCTCTTTAGAGTTACCCTTAGGCATATCAATGCCTTAAGAAAAGCTGCAAGAAGGGAAAGTGCTTCTAAGTTTCAGCTTTGCCTTTCCAGGGTGTGAGATGAGGGGCCACTGGAACAAAGAACTGTTGTGGGTTTCAGGATCTTCCTTTGAATTCCTATTGTGCATAATAGAGGAATTATGAAAAAGCAAAATAGTGATAATGTTGAAGCATGTCTTGCAGAGAAGTAAGAACAGCAAGAAACTGTGCAAAGACTGGCTGGCAGGTACGCCAGTAGGCAGATCAATGGAGCCCTGAGAATGGACAGCGCTCACCTGCCTTCACTGCACAAAGAGCAGGGCGACAGCCAGTGAAGGGCTCTGTGACGAGGTGAGGAAAGAGGACGGAAAGCGGATAAATAAAAGCTGGAGAGGGCTGGTGGAGCTGTGTTTGTAGCTGGGTGAGACAGCACAGATGGACAGAAGGAAGGGTGAACAGTCCTCAAACTGTCCAAAGGATATTCATAGTGAGCAGAATATCGTTGCACCCTCAAGAAAGTAGTACAGAGAGTCATTTATTGGGTCTTGGGGTCCCATAGTTGCAAGCTATTCAGGCTATGACTAAAAATCTTTAGGCTACTAAGAAGTTAATTAATCTGGGGTTCTGGGTAGGCCTTGAGGAAGTTGGAACTCTGGAATAGCAGAACCTTTGTGTTTAGAGTTGGCATGGGGGAGTAGGGTGAGCCCCAGCCCAGGCATGGAACAGGGCTCCAGCATGCCACAGTGGAGAGACAGGAAGAGGGAGAGAAGGCCCAGACCAGACAGGCTTCAGGGGATGAACTATCTGGGAGTAAGATACAGGCTGCTATGGCATGGGAGGTACAGTGTGATCCTGAAGACCTGACAAGATTCAGGGTGTACGTGGTCTGAGGTGGGCAACTACATCATAGTCACATTTTTTTTTTTTTAGCAACTCCCCTAGCCAATCCCCATCTATGTGTTGGAGTCTACCACATTCAGTACTAACCAAATGGTCAAAATAGTTAATTGTTCATTGAAAACTACATTAACAACCAGGGAAAATTGAGAGAATCTGATTGAATCAGGAGTGTTTTTGGTTGATTTTGCAAATAAATAAACATATTCAAACAGAATACAGCAGTACATGATCCAATAATGATCATCTAACTAATTAACTTTCAAATAATACAAACACAGTGGGACTTCTTAAAGGCATGTACACAGATCATGTACATTTAAGAAAGGTTATGGGTACAAGAGACTTGTGATTTTACATTTTATTACTCCCTCAGAATTAACAGGCCCCAAACACTGGTGTGTCCAGCAGAGGGCGGACTTATTCTGTAACTGCAGCTCACTTCTCTAGGATCCAAGCACTGAGAGGAGAGAATTTTAGAGTCAGCTGTCCAACTCTCTTATCTTCAAGTTGAGGAAACTGAGGCCCAAATAAGTTAAAAGACAGTGCTTACCTTTCAATAATCTGTATCACGGATTTGAAACTGTTTGATTTCCATTTATATTGCACACATTTTAGTATGTCATTTTTATAGATCATCTAGCAGTTAATTATATAAATCTATGATTGTAATTCAGAACCAGAGTTTCTAATGAAAACTAAGAATTTGCTTTTGCACAACCTAATGATGTATTGTATGACAGTCTAGGAAAAATGGAGAATATGTTTAATTAGAATTTCAGAATAAAAACTTACAGAATCTGGGTCTGATTGAACCAAATCCTCTATAAAATTCAACATCTTTGATATATTTCTTATATAAGTCTTCTTAAACTATTCCTAATATGATGTTTTTTAAAGTATCTAGTGGTATCTGAGAAAATTTATAGCCTAAAAAAAAAATTAAATATTTATTGTATAACTTCTTTTGCATAATTTATAAGATAATCAAGGTTTTAAGACTTGAATCAAGAATATTCTGACAATCCTTTCTAGAAGTGATTGAGATTAATTCTTAATAAATTGAGAAGAAGAAACAAAACCCGTTAAGGTTGAAAATACACACTGAAGGAATCAAATCTGGTAAGTGAAAATAAGTCACTTCACAGAACACTGTACTGTGATATGGTATCATCTGGGAAAATTAATAAGCAAATCCACATAATGCATCCTGAATAAATAACGACATCACAATAGCCACTTCGTCTAATCCTACCCCTAAATGTCAAACAGTCTGTCACATGAGTACATAACGTGCCAGTGAGTGCTACTTAATCTCAGTCACCAGTTTCCTTGGCAGGCGCATCTGTAGGTATCTGCACATAATCCAGTGAAAACTGTGATCTGACTAAACTGTTAAACAGCTGATAAAAAAGCAGCTTACTGTTGTAGTGCCTAATGAGAATACCACTTACATTTTCAAGAACACAGTATGTAGCAGCAAATTAAAATGTTTGGTAAACTACAGTACAAACAAATGGACATCTATGCTATACTGCAAACCAAGAGCTCTTTCAGTATCTCTACATAATAGTGACACAAAGAAGGCAGTTACTTGACCAATTACTTTACATACTGCCTGTTTGTTTTCTTCATTCCAGTTCGACGGTATTCCTAAATTGATGTGTACTCAGTGGCAATTTCTCGTTCAGTTCTTGTTTAGCTCAAAGGATGTTCTTTATTGGCTCCTTTCTAACAACAGCTCATACATGGAATTCAAATTTTTTATACCATTTAAATGCAGTGCTAAGGATTGAAAATAAATGTTGGCAGCTGAAGACACATTTTTCCTCCCTCCCTTCCTTCCTCGCTCCCTCTTCTCCTCTCCTTCCATTACTCACATGCATGTAAACTTGGGGTGCCTGCCTGAACAGGGAAGAGGGCTGCTATAAAAAGCAATGCAGCACAAGGAACCTATCTTTCTTCCCAGGTGATGAAAGCTTCTAGGGAGATTTCCAGTTAATAACCTCGTTTGGGAGATAATCAGTACTTCAATAACGTGTTTTCAGTAGCTCAATGGAAAGAATGGGTTCTTATTTCAGGCAAGAAATGTATTGTCAGTGTTTGCCTTGCCATCCAGCTCAGACCCGTGAGATGAACCCCAGGCCCAGGCTGGCTGGAATCTGGATGGTTTCCAGCGCGAGGGAGGATGGGTTGAATGGAAAGGTGACAGGAAAGGTGTGTTTAGCATCCATAAGCAGCTGAGGAGAGTCTTTCCTGTCTCGTAAACGCATCTGAGAAGGTTAAAAAAAAAAGAAGAAAAAGACAAACAAAAGCATCAATTCTTTGAATCTATAAAGACTTTTTTCTGCCAAAAATTCTACCAAAAAATCCCCAACTAATGAAGAATGTTTATCTTTGTTTTCAAATCACTCCATTTCCCCAATAAATGGTTATGAAAAAGTTAATGGAGTGTAAAAATAAGATAAAATTATATAATCAAAGATAAAAAATACATTACCCTTCAATCAGTTGTAAAATTTCCATTCAGAAGAATACATTGGTGGATCAAAGGAAAAAAAAAAGTCTGAGAGATCTTACCTGTATGGTACGAATAAATGATGCAGAGACTCTTTCTTCAAACTCGTGAACTGGAGTATACAAAAACAACACTTTGACAATCTGCAAGCAACGAGATGATTACAGTTTTCAGTATATTATCAAATACACACTGAGCACCTAGAATCTGAAAAACGAAAGGGATCTGTGCACATGTTCATCTGCTCTGCTCAGGGCTGGGATAGCCTGAGAGAGGAGAGAGAGTTGGTCTGAAGGGCACGTTTACCTTTTGTTATTTTAATTTTTATAATAATGTATTTATGTAATATTTGTATAATTTTTAAAGAAGCATGAGAGGCTTGGGAGAATATTCAAAGAGTATAAAAGAATAAAACATGAATAGTAAAAGTGCCTCTACTCCCATCTTCCAATCTCCATAAGCAACAATTGTTACCAGTGTCCTGAGTATCTATTTAGCTATTTTCTATACATACTCTAGTTTATATTATTTTTACACAAATAGGGTTTACTCTATTAACAGCATTCTGCAACTTGCTTTCTTTATAGATCTCCAGCTATATTTAAAAATAATGGAACTAAATACTATTTCTTTTGAATGGTCTTTTAAATCATATTTTTACAAAAGATAAGTTATCAATGAATAATACAGAGGCCTTTAAAATTAACTAATAATTAGCGGTTAGGAAGGGCTTAAAAAGGTATCAAATTAATTTCTTTTGTAAAATGGTCACATCTCTTTTCTAATTAAAACAAATCACTGTCAAAATAAGATAGAAAGATGTTTCCATTTTCAAGGTATTGTTGAGGGCTGTGCTGTCCAGTACAGGAGCCACTAGTCATATGTGGCTATTTAAATTAAAAAAAAATTGAAAATTCAACTTGACAGTGCTGACCTAGAGGCAAAGAATAAATTAAACACCAGAGAGATGTGAATTAGAAAGCAGGACTGTTTATCAGGTCTGTGAGGGATTAAATGAATCAGGCGATCACCCCTCAGGGCCAAATATTAGGACTTAAAAAAAGTCAGACCACTTTGTTAAATAAAATTTGCATATCTATCTCACTCTGTGAAATATGTGCTTAAAGTATATAAAGTACATTAAGGTATAAAGTGTATTCTTTAAAAGTTGGATGACAGCAAATTTCTATGAAGTCAGGTTTTCTCCAATGTATTCTAACTTTCCACACTTGGCAGAAATGGGGGAAAAAATTCTTAGGACCATTACTCAGTAATGTAGCTCTGCTTCATTCTTAGCAAGAATTATGTCACTAGGAAAGTTCAGCACTAAGAAGCTGCCAATCTTAATTCCCATTATATAGTGACTGAGATCTGATTGTAATACTGGATACAACTGAAGATCTCTATGTTATGAGATATGGAACAAATATTAAGAAAGTCCAAGAGTCAGCACAGAAAATAACTGGGGAAAAGAAAAATGGCCACCGTCATGCCTATGTCTTGCTTCACGCTGTTACCATTGTCTTCAAATGCCCTTCCCTTCCTCTCACTTCCTCCAGTTCTAGGCACCCTTCAAAGTCCAGCTTAACAGACCCTTCTCTGAACCAAGTAAGTTCTCACACCTAGTGCTCCCTTCAGACCTCTTACTATAGAGCTTACTGGACCCTCTTATAACAGAGCCAGCTCCGTACAGCTCTGTCTTCCCTACTAGACTGCACGTTCCTTAAAGGCAGGGATTGTTCCTTATTTACTGAAGCATCTCACTTAGCAGCAAGTTTGGTGCCGTGAAATAAGAACTCAATCATTTGTTGAATTGAAAGGAATGAGAATTGTCTGTCTTAAAAAAGAGAAGTCTAAAGAATCCCTCAATCAAATAATATAGAAAATTATTTTATGGAATATATACTTCATGAGAATGTACACCTCACGAGAACAGGGACTTTGCTTTGTTCATGGATGTAGCTGATTGCCTGGAACATTACAGAACACTGTAGGCACTCAATGAATATTTGCTGAATATTGAATATGGATGACTGTGATTAGCACTGAAATGTATTACTTTCTGGTGAAATCTCCTTTCCTTAAGATCTGTAGAGATATACATCTCTGACACAGATGAAGTCAGCTTAGAGACAAGAGAAATAACTAGAACACCTCTTCTCTAATAATCATCTCTGATAAATGTTCAATTATTTCATAATAGGCAAAGTTGCTTTACCTGGAGAGTAGTTAATGCATTACACATGGAACAAATGGCTTCTGCATCTTCATCTGTTTTCTTTTTCACTTGCAAAAGCTGAGCAGCTTGAATAAGAGGTTCTAGAGTTTCTTTAGCCCCACTGTTCATCAGATTCTTATCACGGAGCCATTCTTCTAGTTGACTGACATTGTACCTATGCCACAGAGAGAGAGAGAGAACAAATTTGCTGAATGTTGTCATAAATGTCTTAATTTTTTGGTGTGGCCTTGTTAGGATTTTATGTTAAAATGACAGGCAGTATTTTTGTTCAATTTTCTTAAATCTCATCAGCTGTGCTTAAAATGGTGTCATTATAAATAGGTATGAGGCTTATAATCTTAATTATGTAAGATTAAGTGACTAGTAAATATACTTTAACTGAAGGTATAAATGTAGTTACTATAGCAAAAGTTATGAAATAAGACTTGCTAATAAACAACAAAGAACACATAATATGGCTGTGTCCTATTGAACAGCTGACCAGAAAACACTTCATAGGTCCTCTTACAATTTCAGAGATGAGTTCCTTTTGGGAGGTGAGAACTGACAATTCTGTAAATACTTTCTCTTCCTTAAGGCAAACTCCAGGCTAGTTAACTGAAACACTAGATCCCCCCATATCTCCCTTGTGCTCACACCCTATTTGGGGAAGAGCCTACGCAGTGGAGACAGTGGCGTGAGGACTGCTCAGGAATGGAAGAGAAGGACAGGTGAGGGTCACTGGAGGAAACAAACTACATAGACGCTGAGGTCTCAAGAGCTAGCCAATCAAGTGACAGTGGTTTGCAAACTAAAATTGAGGTAAATGGACACAATTAGACTTAGTGATCAGGCAAGTAAGAGGCATTATGACGTTGCAACAGACAACTTCACATTTATAAGCAAAGCTTACAGAGAAATAAATTCTACTTCCTGTTCTTAAAGTTAATTACAACTGAATTTGATTGAATTTGGGTCAAAATGGAAAACTTGAAAAGAACGCCAAGATTTCCTGAGGTTGAGTAGTTTAAAGACTTTTGTAGGAGAAATTTTTTTTTCCTTCTTTAGTGATTATTCTATCTGTTTTAAAATAAGTGTTTGCAAAAACAAAATAAATTCTATTATGATAAGGAGGTTATGCTGGGGAGGAGTAGGGCATAAAATTGAGTGTAGCTTTTCTTTAAAATATGGAAACCCTGGTGGCATAGTGGTTAAGAGTTTGGCTGCTAGCCAAAAGGTCAGCAGTTCGAATCCACCAGGTGCTCCTTGGAAACCGTATGGGGCAGTTCTACTCTGTCCTATAGGGGTGCTATGAGTCAGAAGTGACTTGACCGCAGTGGGTTTCTTAAAATATAGAGGGGCATATTTCAAGTGTTAGCAAAAGATCTGTTAAATTTGTTATTGTTGCCATAGGTACAAAAAGTTATTTTGTCAAAATATATCTCTAAGAGTAGTCAAACATTAGAAGTCACTATAATTTGATACTTTGTTATTGTATAACTAAAACACACACAAGAAGGAGCATCTTGAGGTATTTTTTCATCGTCTCTACACTCCCTCAACGAGCTAGCTTCTCAGTGGAGCAAGGTTTCCCACTAAGTAATGAGAAGAGCCGACTGGCAAGGCAAGGAGCAACAGCCAGTAAGATCTAGAGAAACTCAGCCAGGGCGAGAGAAAGTGGTGCCAAGCACTTTCTCCTGCTGCTTGGCCTCCTGGCAGCGAACATCAAGTGCACTGATCTCAAACAAGTAACCAGCTGGCCACAACCCTGGCAGGCCAGCCAGACCTCTGGAGATGCCATCAAGGTGTGGGCATTTGCTCACCTGATCTGCATGCCTTTACTCCACGAGCACACGTCCTTCCGCAGAAGGAGGTTGTTCAGGGTGACAGCCCCCACGATGTAGAACATCTGCTTGACCACCTGCTTGATCAGTTCTGGGTCCATGCCGTGCTGACACATGACCGAGTGGAAGGAGTTGAGCTGCTGGATGATGGAGTCCAGGGTGTAGGCGCCCTCGTCGGCGATACTGGAGGTCCGCTTTCTTAGCCCTGTGGGCTTCACCCCGGACATGCCCTGAATTGTTTCATGCTCCAGCATGCCTGAGACTGTGGAGGTTTTTAATTGTTAAAAGAGAAAACTTGGAAGAAAACCTGTTTTCGTGTGCTTGCAAATGCCCGCGTGCATACACACAAATATACATTCAATTGAGAAAAACCATTTGAGCACCAAGATCAAGGGAAAAGGAACATCACAAAAAAAGGGCCTCTGGATTTTAAACTTTAATGAAGGAATAATTCTTAAATACAAAAATCACCATAAAATTAAAAATATTAACGGTGTAATTTCTAAAATAAGCAGCAGTAACCTTTTGATAGCACAACTATGGTACCTTAGTGGGGTTTTTGAGAAGACAGGTGCATAAAAGATAGGAATAAGCACTCTCTAGTGATATCTGAGCCCCAGAGACAAGCACATCAAACAGCAAGAAGGGCGAGACCCTGGGAAACTGTCTTGGAGAAGACTCGGGAGAGTGTGCTAGTGTGGACTGGAAAGCTGGCTCTTGTCCTGGGCATCCCACGTAACAGAGAGGCCTCGCTAGCCTCAGCCTTCCAGGACTTGGGCTTCTCATCTGCAGCACTGCTGCTCCCTCTCCTGTGCCGGCACAGCATTTGGCCTATGTCTCCCCTAGGATGTTTGCAGGATGACCACTTCCTGGAAAGCAGGCGCCATGCCCAACTCACTGTTATATCTCCTAGTACTGAATGCAGCTTCCACAGAACTTCATACTGACTCAAAACATTTGTCCTTGTTGCTGTTGTTGAATGACTGGGAAATAGGGATAGGGATCTAGAGTGGGACATCTTAGAGATAAAATTGTTGTTTAGATGATAAAAATATTTTTTGCCTAGAAGTAGAATATTGGCTGAAGCTGACTTTTTTTTTTTTTTTTAGGGGGAATTTTTATTTTATTGTGCTTTAGGTGAAAGTTTACAGCGCAAATTAGTTTCTCATTCAAAAATTTATACACATTGTTTTGTAACATTGGTTGCCATTCCCACAATGTGTCAGCACTCTCTCCCTCTCCCTTTCCACCTCAGGTTCCCCCTGTCCATTCATCCAGTTTTCGTGTCCCTTTCTGCCTTCTTATCTTGCTTTTGGGCAGGTGTTGCCCATTTGGCCTTGTATACTTGACTGAACTAAGAAGCATGTTCCTCATGTGTGTTACGTTTGTTTTATAGGCCTGTCTAATCTTTGGCTGAAAGGTGAACTTTGGGAGTGGCTTCAGTTCTGCATTAGCAGGGTGACTGAGGCCATACTCTCTGGGGTTCCTCCAGTCTCTGTCAAACCAGTAAGTCTGGTCTTTTTTTGTGAATTTGAATTTTGTTCTACATTTTTCTCCTGCTCTGTCCAGGACCCCCTATTGTGATCCCTGTCAGAGTGGTGGTAGCCGAATACCATCTAGTTCTTCTGGGCTCAGGCTGGTGAAGCCTGTGGTTCATGTGGTCCATTAGTCCTTTAGGCTAGTATTTTCCTTGTATCTTTCGTTTTCTTCATTATCTTTTGCTCTGGATGGGATGGAACCAATAGGTGTATCTCAGATGGCTGCTCACAAGCTTTTAAGACCCCAGACACTACTCACCAAAGTAAGATGTAAAACATTTTCTTTATGAACTATGTTATGTCAATTGACTAGATGTCCCCCAAGACCATGGTCCCTAACCCTCAGCCCCAGTAACTTGGTCCCTCAAGGAGTTTGGATATGTCTAGGAAGCTTCTATGATTTCTGCTTGTGCTGGCTTCCCCTATATTTTGTTGTCTTTCCCTTTACCAAAGTTGACCCTTGTCTACTATCTCGTCAGTGATTTCTCTCCTCCCCATCCCTCCCTCACTTGTAACCATCAGAGATTTTTTTTTTCTTCTGTATGTAAACCTTTTTCTGGGTTTTTATAATAGTGGTCTCATACAATATTTGTCCTTTCGTGATTGACCTATTTCACTTAGCATAATGCCCTCCAGATTCACCTGCGTTGAGATGTTTTGCCAATTCATCATTGTTCTTTATTGTTGCACAGTACTCCATTGTGTGTAAGCACCATAATTTGTTTATCCATTCATCTGTTGATGGGCACTTAGGTTGTTTCCATCGTTTTGCTATTATGAACAATGCTGCACAGAACATGGCTGTTCATATGCCTACTCGTGTGATGGCTCTTATTTCTCTAGGATATATTGCTAGGATTGGGTTTGCTGGATCCTATGGTATTTCTATTTCTAGCTTTTTAAGGAGGCGCCATATCGTTTTCCATAGCAGTTGTGTCATTTTGCATTCCCACCAGCAGTGCATAAGAGTTCCATTCTCCCTGCAACCTCTCCAACATTTGTTATTTTGTTTTTTTTTTTTTTGGTTTGCGCCTGAAGCTGACTTCTTTACATCTGTGTTACCTCTTGCTTTTTGCCTACCTAGGTTGCTTTTAGTTCATGACCTTTTAGGAGACAACTGAAAAAATCACTGCTGTCTCCCACAGCTTTTTCAGCTTTTCATGCTTCTAGTTGATTAACTGTGGGCCTACGATGGAAAATGAAATATTATGAGCCCAAAGAAGGGAAATGAAAAAGTTGTGGGAAAACACATACGTAGGTAAAGAAAAGGTAGCTCGAAAAGAAAGAGTAGTTGGGATTAACTTTAAGAGCCTGCTGATAATTTGCCTGAAGATAATAGTTTTGTTTAACATAAAAAAAATTATTTTTTTAATTCAATGCATTCAAAATGAACAGCCTCTAATTTGTACATGCCTCCTAATTCCATCTCATACATGCTACTTCCTTTCACATTCCAAAGGAACACAGACAGGACAATACATAAATTAACACCCAGAGTGACTGCACACATATAAAGAGGGGTGCACGGAATCACACATTTGGCTGAACACACACATGTTCACACCCACACCCTAGCCGCTCAGGAGCTGCCCTGACAATAAGGCACTGCTACTTTAAACCAAATTGCCTTTAACACTTCCACAGGGCCCACGGGGTGTACTAACTCAGCATGGAGTGCCTTCTTCACAGAAGAAAGGCCTGGAGATCTGCTTCCATAAAGATTACAGCCAAGAAAACCCTATGGAGCTCAGTTCTACTCTATAACACATAGGGTTGCAGTAAGTTGGAACCGACTCAAGTAACAGGTTTGTTTTCTTTGGCTCCTGGTTCATTCTAGGGCAAAGCGCACACATTCCCAACCTCATTAATTTAAATGGGCCCCTAGGAAGCCCTATGTTGTAGTGTTCTCCTAGGTTAAAGTTTAAGATGTTTTGGAAACTTGGTAAGGCATGAGATCTATGCTGAGTATATAGCATGACCCAATCGTAAGAGACAGGCATTCTACATCAGGGAGGACAACCAGATACTGCCATTCTGAACACGTGATAGCTGAGAATTTGATGTATCCCCAGCTGGTCATCACTGGGTTTCTGGGATTCCTCAGCTAATTTTGGGCTCATGTTTCCACCTAAGTTCCCTTACTACTTTATGTTCTCCTGTATGAATACATGCCCTAAAACATGTGTCACTGGTGGGCAGCTGTGGTGGGCAGACTGCAGTGCTCAGCAGGGCCCTGGCCTTACCGATCATTGGCTGAAGGATGTTCTCTAACACCCGCACAAGCTGTTGGTAGATCTGAATGGCCAAGTCACTCAACACTTGCCGATACTCAGCCAGGTCAAAATTGGTTAGGCAGTGTTCGTTCTGGCGAGATGTGTTGTGTTTCATGAAGCCCTAGGGTCATAAGGCAAAGTTAATGATACACATGAGCAAAATGTCTCTTCAGTCTGTTTAACCATCTCCAGTTTCATCAATATCCTCTTGCTAAACTCTCTTGGAGGAGATGCGGCTTCCTTTGTCTTTGCTTTACAATACCTCCCTAAGCCAAGCACTTGATTACTGCAACCACCTCTTAGTAGATGTTCTCAGCTTTTGGCTAGCCCAGTGTCCTTCTGCCCCAGACATAAATGCCAGGATAATCATTTTCAAATGCTGCTATATGTTTATGTGTTTCCATCATATTCCCCCTTCCACTTTGTACTATCATTTGGATAATATCTAAACTTGCTACATTAGCATATAAGTCTTTCCAATGTCAATGAAACAAGTTGGAGGAACTTATCTAAAAAAAAGAATGTTTTTACTTACGAAACAGCACGTTTACTACCAAACACTAAATTATCTGCAGTAGTAATCTCTTAACTTCCGTCATTAAATACAGTCTTGCTCATAAATAATGTACTAAAGGGTATAATCTTAAAATAGACCAAGTTCTACAAAGAGTGGTAAATTAATAAAAAAATTTCCCTTTACTATATTTCATGCGAGGAGCCCTTGTGGCATAATGGTTAAGAGCTTGGCTGCTAACCAAAACGTCAGCGGTTCAAATCTACCAGCTGCTCCTTGGAAACCCTATGGGGCAGTTCTACCCTGTTCTATAGGGTCGCTATGAGTTGGAACCAATTCGATGGCACCTAATAGCACCAACATACTTCATGGGGAGCCTTGGTGGTACAGTGGTTAAGAGCTACAACTGCTAACCAAAAGATCAGCAATTTGAATCCACCAGCTACTCCTTGGAAACCCCAGGGGCCAGTTCTACTCTGTCCTATAGGGTTGCTAAGAGTTGGAATCGACTCGACAGCAATGGGTTATATTTCATGGTATCTACATCATAATTTTTAGTCACAGCTTAAAACTTAATCTTCTGGATGATATTTGTTAAAATGGAAAGCTAACCACACAGGCAGCACTTTTTTTCATGCACTTTAACATTCTGATAATTTGACATTGCCTGATAAAAGCAATTGTTTACTTGGATTATGCCCATGGTCAAGCATCTGCTCCCTGCAACCTACTCAATGACATGGTCTAAAAGTGAGGACTGACAGGATATCATTAATGGTCCCTATGGAGAATTCTCCATCATGCGTCTGTCAGTTTGTCATGCTGTGGTGGCTTGCAGGTTGTTGTGACCTCGAAGCTATGCCAACCGTATTTCAAATACCAGCAGGGTCACCCATGCTGGACAGGTTTCAATGCAGCTTCCAGACTAAGACAGACTAGGAAGAAGGACCTGGTGATTTACTTCTGAAAAAACTGGCCAGTAAAAACTTTATGAATAGCAGTGGAACATCATCTGATGTAGTGCCAGAAGATGAGCCCCTCAGGTTGGAAGGCGCTCAAAATATGACTGGGGAAGAGCTACCTTCTCAAAGCAGACCGATGTGGATAGAGTAAAGCTTTCAGGAGCTGATTGGTGTGACTCAACATGATAAGAAACAGCTGCAAACATCCATTAATAATCGGAATGTGGAATGTATGAAGTTATGAATCTAGGAAAATTGGAAGTCGTCAAAGATGAAATGGAACGCACAAAGATTGCTATCTTAGGCATTAGTGGGCTGAAATGGACTGGCAGTGAACATTCTGAATTGGACAATCATATGGTTATTATTTCAGGAAGGACAACTTGAAGAGGAATGGCACTGCATTCATCATCAAAAAGAACATTTCAAGATCTGTCCTGAAGTACAATGCTGTCAGTGATGGGATAATATCCATATGCCTACAAGGAAGACCAGTTAAAACGACTATTATTCAAATGTATGCCACCAACCACTAAGGCCAAAAATGAAGAAATTGAAGATTTTTACCAACTTCTGCAGTCTGAAATTGATCAAACATGCAATCAAGATGCATTGATAATTACTGGTGACTGGAATGCAAAAGTTGGAAATAAAGGAGTAGTTGGAAAGTATGGCCTTGGTGACAGAACCCATGATGGAGATTGCACGATAGAATTTTGCAAAACCAACTACTTATTCACTGCAAATACCTTTTTCCAACAATATAACCGGTAACTATATACACGGACCTCGTTAGATGGCAAACACAGGAGTCAAATTGACTACATCTGTGGAAACAGATGATGGAAAAGTTCTATATCATCAGTCAGAACAAGGCCGGGGCCCACTGCGGAACAAATCATCAATTGCTCATATGCAAGTTCAAGCTGAAGCTGAAGAAAATTAAAACAAGTCCACAAGAGCCAAAGCACGACCTTGGGTATATCCCACCTGAATTTAAAGACCATCTCAAGAATAGATGTGACGCATTCAGTACTAATAACCAAGGACCAGATGAGTTGTGGGATGACATCAAGGACATCATACATAGAAAAAAGCAAAGGGTCATTAAAAAGATAGGAAAGAAAGAAAAGACCAAAACGAATGTCAGAAGAGACTCTGAAACTTGCTCTTGGACATAGAGTGGCTAAAGAGAATGGAAGAAATGAAGAAGTAAAAGAGCCTAATAGAAGATTTCAAAGGGCGGCTCCAGAAGACAACGTAAGGTAGTATAATGAAATGTGCAAAGAGCTGGAGATAGAAACCCAAAACGGAAGAACACGCTCAGCATTTCTCAAGCTGAAAGAACTGAAGAAAAAATTCAAGCCTCGAGTTGCAATAGTGAAGGATTCTATGGCAAAAAATTGAACGACACAGGAAGCATCAAAAGAAGTTGGAAGGAATACACAGAGTCACTGTACCAAAAGGAATTAGTTGGCGCTCAACCATTTCAGGAGGTAGTATATGATCAAGAACCAACAGTACCGAAGGAAGAAGTCCAAGCTGCACTGAAGGCACTGGTGAAAAACAAGGCTCCAGGAATTGACGGAATACCAATTAAGATGTTTCAACAAACGGATGCAGCGCTGGAGTTGCTCACTTTTCTATGCCAAAAAAATGTGGAAGAAAGCTACCTGGTCAACCGACTGGAAGACATCCGTATTTGTGCCTATTCCACAGAAAGGGGATCCAACAGAATGTGGAAATTATTGAACAATATCATTCATATCACATGCAAACAAAATTTTTCTGAAGATCATTTAAAAACGGTTGTAGCAGTACATCGAGAGGAAAATGCCAGAAATTCAAGCTGGATTCAGAAGAGGACGTGGAACGAGGGATATCAGTGCTGATGTCAGATGGATCTTGGCTGAAAGCAGAGAATACCAGAAAGATGTTTACCTGTGTTTTACTGACTATGCAAAGGCATTTGACTGTGTGGATTGTAACAGATTATGTATAACACTGGGAAGAATGGTAATTCCAGAACACTTAATTGTGCTCATGTGGAAGCTATACATGAACCAAGAGGTAGCAGTTCAAACAGAACAAGAGGATACTGTGTGGTTTAAAATCAGAAAAGGGGTGCATCAGGATTGTATCCTTTCACCATACTTATTCAATCTGTATGCTGAGCAAATAATCAGAGAAGCTGGACTATATGAAGAAGAACACAGCATCAGGATTGGAGGAAGACTCATTAACAACCTGTGATATGTAGATGACACAACCTTGCTTGCTGAAAGTGAAGAGGACTTGAAGCACTTACTGATGAAGATCAAAGACTACAG